CTAAATTCGTGTTTTTAGTGTTATTTTTAAGAGTATTGCAGATAATTTTGGTGTTAGACGATTTCTAGGCATGCTACTTCTTATACAAATATAATTTGCAGCACAAGCCTCCTGTGGGTTTTATTATCATGTTGATACAACGCCGTCACTTTGATAGGCATTGGTAAACAAATGAGTCAAGAGTATGTACTAAAACTGGGCAATTTTGGCGACAAACATACCCAGGAACTCAAAATTTCAAAGTCGTAATTCGTTTCTATTACAATCAGCTATTCTGATTTCATATAATTTTAATAAACTCAGAGTCAATCATGCTACTAACGAATCTAACAGCACTTCCCATTTCTAAATTCATTAGTTCGTTAGGACTGTGTAAAAAGTGTGACGATGAGTCACAATGTCATTATTAGGTGTGTTATCTAACTACGGAGACATGACAATCCATGGAATTTTCAAATAATTTTATCCTTCTAATATTTCTGAAAAAATACATTATTTCAAAAAAATTGTTCAAAATACCTACGTCTGTCATGAATACAAGACTAAAACTTCGTCATCTACTAAACTATTTCCTATACGGAAGTCATTTCTTGTTGAGTTATATTCAGTAGCTTTAATATGGTTCCTTGTGTGTTTCAACAGGAGCATACGAAGATTGTTTAATCCTTGGTCGAGTATTCTTTGCTCCGTCTCGGTACTCAAACTCCCTAGGTTATTACCTATATCACTTTACACAATCCCGTGGAAAACATGTAATATTCAATAAAAAACGACACTCATGCTCAGTGGAGGATGAGCTCGAAGCCTTGAACTCCATGGACTAGTCATTTTGAAAACCAACAAGATTCACATCCTACTATTAAAAGACATTTTGTTAGATCTGAATCTTCAAAGCGAAGTAGACTTTCTATAAAGATAAAACAACACGGAAAAAGCCTCGGGATATTTCATCATCTTTTGAATTGTTGCTCAGTTATATATATATATATATATATATATACAGGGTGACTTTGAAGTTGAGTCATTAATTTTCAGATAATGATTGTAGAAGGAAGATAAACCAAAATATGTGTGTAAAAATAAAATAAAAATTAAAAAAAATTGTTTACCTTGTTTTATAAAGTATCCTCCCGACAAGTATTTCAGTGCGGACCTGTATTTGATCGTGAGGTCTTGGAGCACCGGCATGCAGTCCCCTGTGAGGTCTTAAGTCACCTGATTCACGAGCCCCTTGTACTACATTAACAAAGGCACGAGGGGTTGGTTGCACTCGATTGGGAAACCGATCCGCATAAATATGTGCCATTTTTTATTTCGTTTGAGCCACGCAGCAAACACCACTATTCACTCACGCGTTACCGACTGACACAGACTGAATAAAAACATCGTGATCAGCGTTTCAAATTCTTTCGCTTTTTTGTTTCCGATGCGATGAACCGATAAGGCGGAGTATATCCGTTGTCGCCAAACACGAGCACATAATATTATTATTGAGACAGGGCGGTACTCAAACTTCTAAAGGGTATAACTTTGTTACTTTAATTTTACCACAAAAATGTTAAAGGAAAAAAACATTTATTTTGATCAGATCTACTCACTGTTAAAATAAATGACTCAACTTCGGCGCATCGAAAACGAAACAGACGCATTTACTGGCAGCTCAGTTTTTTTTTGAAAAACGCTCAGACCCGTCGATTTTGTTTTCGATGGGGACACAAGTTTGGCAAAAAATCACGTTAGCACGTGCAGCCCTCTAAGCGGGGGTGACACCACCCCCGAAATCTTAAATGGAAAGGGAGGAGTGATACCTTATTTTAAAGGTCTTTCAATTCCCTTTATAATGATATAAAATTAATGTACTTCAGTTCAGTAGTTTTGAAGATTTATTGATCTAAAGCTCAAATAAGACTAATACATCATCATTAGTGGAGATCAATACATTTGGCAGCAAAGTAATTTAAAAATGAAGAATGAACTGACCTGTTAGGCAAGTAAATATTGAAAATGGCCACCATGACTCTCCGGCAGTAATAAAGATTTTGCTCAAAACGTTGCCGCACATTTTGCAATATTTGAGGAGTAATTTGAAGGCACTCATTCACAATTCTTTGTCGCAGGTCTTCTAATGATGTTGGCTGAGTAGCATAGATTTTGCTTTTTAAATGACCCCACATAAAGAAATCCAAAGGTGATAAATCTGGCGATTTTGAGGGCCATTCAATTGTCGAACACGTAATGCGTAATATGGTGGGGCACCATCCTGTTGGAACATCAACCTATTTGCAATGTACCGCCGATCATTCTCATTTTCAATTATGGCTGTTAATGCAGGATCTATGGTGTCTTCCAGTAACTCCAAGTACATTTCACCGGTCAAATTTCTAGGTAAGAAAAAAGGACCAACTAAATGCCAAAAATACCAGCCCAAACATTTAATTTTTGTGGCTGCTGTGTATGAACCTCATAATAAATTCTGGGATTAGAATCGGACCAATATCGGCAGTTATGACGATTTAATATGCCATTTCGTCGTTTGTACCGCAAACAAGCTTAACTGATTTTATATAAATTTTCAGTAGAAGCAAAATGAATATCGACAGTTATTTGATTTCATATATCTTTACTACTTTAGATAATATGAGCATAATTTCTTCCAATAACATAGCTAAAAAGTGTGTTCATCATCTTCTGAGAAGTATATAGAGGAAAGGAAATTCATATTCTCAGCTAAACATGTTTTTTTTTTTCCAGATACGCCTCTTTGCGGTAACCTTGACAATTACAATAGTCTCGCAGTTTGAAGATACGCCTTTGACTCCATATGGAATAAAATTAGATTAAATAAAAAACACTTTATTCTCAGATGTAAATAATACTCAAGCAACTCAAGGATAATACAGAACAAAAATAAGAAGATGATTTCGAACAAAAACATTTATGGCTGGTGCTCATGAGGTAGTGAATTATAAAAACGTGATGTTCTGGTAGAGTGATGGCAGGCCTATCGCCTTGGCAAAGTGAGGTCAAATCATTATATTTTTTATTTGTGATTTTTCGTAGGTCGCTATTCAAAGGAGACAGCTCTTTTTTTTTAAATATCGGATACATTTCTTTTCAAGGTTATGGACCTGTAGTCTGTTTGCTTATGGCTAGTCTTGAAATAGATTTTGTTGCAATTATCACTTGTCACTTTGAATTCCATCATATTTTTCCAATTCACATCTATGTCTTTATCATCTTTTCTTAAGTCTTAAGTCTGATGCGAGTTTTTTTAGGTCAAAAAAATTACGATAGTCTAAGGGACGAACCTTATATGACTGTTTCTTCCTTGCTAATGCATAGACTGGCAATACTGGCTCGGCACAATAATTTCACCTGCATTTTTCAAAGCGTAACTTATTGCACTATGTGCTGAATCGCCTTCATGTTGTCCATGACAAGAGGCAAAAAATTGTAACGATATCTCTTTAACGTTTGAGCAATTACTGACGAGATATAAAAGAGTGGTAGCCATTATCGAATTCTTATTTTGGCCACTACAACCATCAGCAAATAAGTCAACAGTATTGTAGCCTTGTTTGTCTTCTTCGGAAATAAATAAATAAACAGCAGTCGATATTTCCGAGCTACCACGTTTACCGTCAGTCTCACTCCATGTATAACAGAAACATTCTCGAGATGCTACTTCATACATAGTTAGATTGTAGACAGCAAGCCGTGTTTTATAAAATACGGAACAATGATTGGAAATTGGTAAGTATATAACTTGTTGGAGATCAAATGTACCACATACAGACTTCGAAGTTGAGTCATTTATTTTAACAGTGAGTAGATCTGATCAAAAGAAATGTTTTTTCCTTTAACATTTTTGTGGTAAAATTAAAGTAACAAAGTTATAGCCCTTTAGAAGTTTGAGTACCGCGACTATCTCAATAATAATATTATGTGCTCGTGTTTGGCGACAACGGATATACTCCGCCTTATCGGTTCATCGCATCGGAAACAAAAAAACGAAAGAATTTGAAACGCTGATCACGATGTTTTTATTCAGTCTGTGTCAGTCGGTAACGCGTGAGTGAAGTGGTGTTTGCTGCGTGGCTCAAACGAAATAAAAAATGGCACATATTTATGCGGATCGGTTTCCCAATCGAGTGCAACCAAATCCTCGTGCCTTTGTTATTGTAGTACAACGGGCTCGTGAATCAGGTGACTTAAGACCTCACAGGGGACTGCATGCCGGTGCTCCAAGACCTCACGATTAAATACAGGTCCGCACTGAAATACTTGTCGGGAGGATACTTTATAAAACAAGGTAAAAAATTTTTTTTTTATTTTTTTTTAATTTTTACACACATATTTTGGTTTATCTTCGTTCTACAATCATTATCTGAAAATTAATGACTCAACTTCAAAGTCACCCTGTATAGCCTTTGTATCATTTTTAGCTTTTTCTTTGCAGCTATTCTTTATTTCTCTTACCGTTTCCTTTTCTAAAATGTGGGCCAAGTACTCCTTTTCCAAATTAGCCTTTACTTCTTCCGATCCTTCTCTGTAACACTTGTACATGTTTGTACAGTTTGTACATGTGATACATTCTACTAAGAGATAAATCTTCATGTAGGTATTGTTTAGTTGAGGACCTCCGGCAGTAATGTGACTCTACTCTGAGGAACCTATTTATGTGCTCTATAATACTTTTTCTAATGACTATGTCTCTTGATGATTGTAACTTCCGTCGACCTCCACGATTTTCTTTTTCTAGCACACCCGTATTTGACTGTATCAATAACCACCACTATCGATGAGGAGTGTTGGCTTTGCGACTGCGATCCACGATGCACTTGGGATGACGTCACCCCATGTCGGTGCACTCTGCTAGCAGGAGCACAGCATGCCATAGAGGTAGGGCGCGTGCGCAATGCGTGTTGCACTTGCGAAAAACTGCATTCTGGAAGTGCACTCGGCGACGATCGAATGTCGGCGACTGCAAGGTGCATAATATGGTGTATACCGGTTTGTTGCAACAACGGCGGATGATGTATGGAAGCAGTGCAACGACTGATGGAAAATGTGAGGCTCTTGGTGGACAGTGCGCATTGCCGGTGTGACGTAAGCACGGCGCTATTAATATGAGGTTAAATATGGAGGAGGTTGTGTTGTAGCAGAATGATCAGTGTTTTTAGTGTAAATTACTCGTCTTAATCTTGCGTTGCTGTAAGTGGTTCGATGTACACTGCTTGTTTCCAAAGTCCGCTCATAACACTTATAAATTCAAGCAAATGCTTAATTCCAGAATATACAGCTCATTCAAGGGATAATTACACAAGTGCATTAAAATTATCGATAATTTTGCATGAAAGCCTGTCTAAAACCTGCATGAGTTGATTTTCATATTTTGGCGAAAGAGCCAGATTCCGAATGCGGATTTTTACTGACGACATGCTGGAATGGAAGGTTATCAGGTTTATTTTGAAGCACGACTGTAATTCGGTGGTAGAACATTTCCCGAGTTGTAAGAGTAAAAGTATGTGTTAAGTTCAAAATTTTATTTGAATTTACATTAAGTAGGCAGGTACAGAAAAACTGACAAACATTTTTCTTTTTCATGTTGTAGGCCCAGTCAGTGAGGTATTGTAATGTTTTCGTCTAAACTATAATTCATTTCTTTCGTGAAATCCATAAACTGTCTCCATGTATACTGATGGTTCAGTATTTTATTTTTAGGTGGCAACAAAAATCCAAGTCGAAGACGATGATTTTTGCACCTGCACGAATGTTTCTTGTTAAAAAATATTGCTTTGCATTGTTTTTTCGATTTTTCACAGGAAAAAAATAGATGCCCGAATGATATTTGACAAGACCAACTAGCACAGTAGTGGTATAAGCTTTTGGTAAAATAACCGTACAGCCATGAAAGCTCTCTATTGTTGTTGCTTGAACACCAAAATGCTGGCTTAATGTTGTGTGGAATGCAAATTTGCTTTCTGCAACATATTTGCTCTAAAGTGAGGTGTTTAAAATATTCTTATAGCATAGTTATACAACACCTTTTAGGGCAAATTTTTAACTGTTGCATAAACGTTTATACAACTATTTTATACGGCATATTTGCACGTTAGTCAAAATGGTTGTGCTGTGGCATCCATGGTACCGTTTATAAAACAAACCCGAGCCTTGTTGTTTTGCTGTGCAATTTACTACTTTAGCCAACAAATTGCTCCCAACGGAAGCACTTATACAACTGCTGTTTAGTAACTGTGAAAGGCTAAATATGTTGGTATACAACTTCACCATAACCTAACTTTCTGCTGTCATATTTTTGTTAAAATGCGATAACCAACGGTTTAAGACAAACAACGCATGCATATTGGTTCAAAATGTTTTATCAACTGTTCAAACAGAAGATATAGATCTGATACAAATTCTGGGTAAAGTATTCGACTCTGTCGGTATTTCATTTCAGACATTTATCAAATTGTTGTATAACACCTGCAGGCAACACCAAAATATTCTAATAAACTAAAGACAACATGGACGATGCCATGATTATACACAACCACCCGCCATATTGGGCAAACATTAATTCCTCTATTTAATATTAAATAATGATATTTCAGTCTGAAATTACAGATATAAAGTGATAAACATTGGTGTAATTGTGTCTAAATATAGGATTTGTTGAAGATTTAACGCAGATAAGTTCAGTTTTCCATCTTAACAATCTAGACACACTTTTGATCATTGTCAAAATATGAACCAAATACGAAGCCCGTAGAAATTGCGTAACTAATTTGCACGATAATCACAATAAAATTTGCTGCGCAAGTAATTCAATAGCCCTATATAACAGTGTAGAAGTTTATCATATACCTGTATATGAAATTCACAATGGCCGATATGTAAGTAAACAATATGACTGTAATGTGTTAATTCGTCGTCTATACAATACATAAGAAATAAAGTAGAATCACGTAACAGAATAGTTGTATAGTTGACAAAAACTGAATCTTGCACTGACGCAAATGTCCTATAGCGGCTGCAAGAGGCTTACACTTTTGTTGTATAACTGTTACCTGCACCCCTTATACAACCCCTTAAATGACTAAAGTGTCCTATCAGGTGTGCCCATTCCGCTTGTATAGCAGTTCTAAGAGGGTGTTTACCGTAAAGTATCCAAACAGGTGTTTATTGTTCACCAACCTCAGTTGATCAATTATTCCCTAATTAATCAAGTGGTGCTTAACTAATTTTCTAGATTCAAAAACCCGTTCAATAAAGTGAGATAGTTATGTGTTCCTGTTACATATCTGTGTCTATGAAAATGTCAACTTACAGTGAAACAATTTCTCATGCATCACAAATAATAGTAACAACCACATATATCTTTTTTTAGTAGTGCCGCAGAAAATTGAAAAAAGCAATTTTCTGAGTAGCAAAATCATATAGCATTACACCGGCATCAGTTATAACCGAATTTTATGCTTTTTCCCATGCAGTCCCAGGATTATGTATTAAAGTTACATGTAAATGTTAAAGAAGTAAATTGGAAGAGGTTGATATTAATATTGGTCAAATATAAAGACAAAAAAAAATTATTAGCCAAAATAACAAATGAACTTTCGGCATTTGCAAAGACTACCGCCAATCTTTAAGTACAGCAGGATTATTTTTTATTGATCGGTATCCGATTTCTCAGATATTTTACATCTTCCACGGGTGTAGTACACACGTACACGTAAAAGTATGAACACGTATATGGTCTATGTTTATTTAATGATAACTATTGTTTTTTTAATTATCTTCTACTCTAACGCATATTTCATTGACTACAAAAAGTCCCTGATATTAAGTTTTTACATGCTGCTATAAATCACTCATGCAATGTGTGTATTATTTTTTCATACCTCAGTGTTATAATGAAAAAAGGTATTCCGCATGATTAACTAGTTAATTAGTTAAGTAGTGGTGCATCATTGATGGATTACGTAGGCTATTGTATAGAGTGGTCCATAATAAATTCGCCAAGAACAAGCCCATATTAAAATAATGATGTTAAGCCAAATATGCCTTGGTAAAATTCACTCATTAATAAGATGAAGCGATTCTCTAAATCGTTGTTTCTCTATAGCTCAAGCTGTTTTTTGTGATATCGACATGAAAGTATTGGCGTTGTGAAATATCCATAAAAACGTTTATTTCTTATCCACTGCACGTTCCACTGCTGACGAACTGCCTTTAAGTCAGCCATTTAACTGTGTGATAACATACTGTGATACATGAGCATGCTATGATACATATCTATCTTTAAAAAGGTTTATTTAATCTGGGTGAATGTACAGATACTATTTTTTCTTAAAAATCACTGTTATTATTTACCTAGGAGCTTTTCTGTAATTATTTGCCTAAGGAGAGAAAAGCTGCTTCTCAGTGGGGTAATGCGGCCAATTCTGGTGATTTTCCTGGTTAATAGTGAAAAAAGAGTAGTACTTCCAGTTTTACGCGAGCTGTATTATTACATATCCATTTATTTTGCCCAGTTTTGTTTTATTATATGCCCCTTTGTATTACACTCCCTCAAACTAATATGCATGATTTATTTAGAGCTATTTCGTAGTGCGTCACATACACAAACATATTCTAAATAAATCTTATTGATTGAATTACATGGATAAGACAGCTTTATTATTTAGCACTTTTCGATAGCAAAGTTTATCTTTTAGATATACACATCCGACTTTGACATCTATTCGACCTTCATACAGGAACATAAATACGATTTATCTATTGGAAGCTTAGTATGTCTAGCGGATAGCCAAAAACATTTTCTATGGAATTTTTATATTTCGTCAAAATTATCGTTAGCACACATAAAGGGATACTTTCATTTTCTGTCCGACTGCTAGTTGAAAATGAAGTTGTCGAGACTATCGAGCATGGTGATAGATTCCCTGTTTTGTATATAAAGTAGAACAAAAGTGAAGTAGCGAAACGAATAATTACATTATTTGTTGTTAGTAAGAAATGATTGCAGTGAAGTGGTGAAGGCCGAGGAATGCAAGCACTTTCTGGAGAATGGAAAGTTCCTGGGTTACTGATATATTTGGAAAAAACTAAAATTTACCCAAATCATTTTTATTTTAAGAAATATCAATAAACTAATTGAACTAATATCACTTTTAGGCACTACGAGATCGAGTCTTTAAATTTTATGCCCGACGGATTGTTTTGAGGAACCACTGTACTTTTATACAGGGTGTTTCAGTTTATTGTTGCATAACTTTAAGATTCGATAGAACTTTTAAAATTAATGCATAAGGTCTATATAAACATGGGTCGAAAAATGCGTGGCTTCCGAAATACAGGGTGTTTAAATTTACTTTCTAAAATAGTTTTTTTTAAATATTTCGAACAATATTTGATGTATAACAGTGAAAATTGGTATACAAGGGTTTTTTGGTACGAAAAAACGAACCATGGGCATAGTTTTACTGTAGCCGCTAGAGGGCGCTCTTTACTATACCTGTAGTGTATTAAAATGACCGAAATTTTTTCTTAGTGCATTTTTTTGCTTTTTGAATAAAAAAACTGATTCGTCGCACTTTTCAACATGAAAAAGCTCTCCTGTGAGTTTTCGTTATAGTTATCCGTTTTTGAGTTTTTGAGATATTTCGATTTTTAAGGTTCGATGCATTTTTAATTATTTATGGGAAAATAATATATTTTTTTTAATTTTCGATTTGAGCATTACAAGTAATTAAGATTATCGTTTAGATTGTGTTTTTAAACACAGCAATAAATCCTAACTCCAAATAAACACAAAAAAACAATATTAATTTGTTTAATTTTCCAAGATTATTTTTAACAAATTAAATTAATTATTTACAACTAAAATGCTATTGGATAGTTAGGACAAACATACAAAATCTAAAGTAGTTGCTCGAAATGTAAACCCAATTGTTCAATACACAATTCACATCTACGAATGATCGAACGTGGTATTATTCAAATAAAGCCTTATTTCATCACATGCATTCCTGATTCTGTCTATTAGCATATCTCTTGTGGTTACGGGAGTCTGGTACACTTTTTCTTTTAGAAATCC